AATTTTTGCAATTTTCTTACGATTTTTTTCCTTGCAGAACGATACATGAAATTTCATAAAAAAAATACATAATTTCCAATTTAAACAAAAAAATCCTTCACATTGGATCATGTTGACAAAAATACAAACAAAAATCTAAACAACCCTAATAAAAAATAAAAAATAAAAAAATAAATAGTACACTGAAAAATTTTCAGTGTGAAAGAATAACATGACCCAAGAAATAAATAAATCAAAATTGGCCATCTTTAAAAAAAATCGCTCTTATTGGAAATAAATTAATGAGCCAAAACATGAGTGAGTGAATGGGAGGTTCTTTCTGAATATTATGGGTTTCCGAATAAATTAATGAATGATTATTTTGGGTTTCCGAATATTGAACGTCTTTATACTCTATCTCTCTAATGGGAGCTTTCACTCTCTGATGGGAGTTTAATCCTAGGGTTTCTCTATCAATTAATAACCATTTACTGGGCATTCTATCTATACTGCTTGGTAATCCCAAATGGATGCGACAAAAGCAGACATAGAGCAATAAATGGTGAAGTTCTCATTATCGAAAAAGGAATGTCTGATCACGGACATTGAAGACCAAGATGTCTGGAGGTGGGCTTGAAGTCATGTAGAATAGTCAAGGGAGTCAAGAACGTGAATATGGTAAGAGCAAGAGGGCAAGACGGTAGGATACTGTGGATTCTAGCCACCATAAATCTTAAAGAACCGCTACCTAGATGGACCCAAATAAGGCTTGGAGATACAATGATCATTGTGACTTTGAAATACGAGAAGCTACTGCGGTAGAATAGGTCATCTTGATAGAAGTTGTTCAACCCGGATGGCAGATATTGAACTCAAAGCTGTTAATGAAGGCCAATATGGAGATTGGATTAAAGCAGTAGATGGAGGAATATGGCTTGATGTAGTTAGCCCAAACACAGAGTCAGGATCGAAGGACACACCTCATACCAATGATCAATGAAATGACCAACAAAATGACAAGTCAAGAGAACCCTCAGAATTCACAAGCCAAACAACAAATCAATCAAGAGGATCTAGCAAACCAATCACAAAACAAACTTTACTGCTAGCTATGGTGGACTTCTCTACTTCAGAAGAACTAGCAGAGAAGTACAGGGGCAAGACACCAGCTGTATCAGAAGGAAATCAAGTTCTTATGCAAATTGCAGAGGAGAATTCTGAAGCAAAGATTAGCAACATTTCAAACCTGCAACTGCTGGTCCACAAACCATTGGCAAAAACCAAACAGACCAAAACCTGGAAGAGACAACCAGCTAAGGAAGGGACACTGCTGAGAAGTCTCAATGATATGGAGACAGACAAAGCCATGAAGGGGATAAAAAGAGACATGACTGATGCTACACAGGAAAACCAGCAACAAGGAGATAAGCAATAGACTATCTCAAACACAAAGAAGGCAAAACTAAAAGGAGTTATGGTGCAAGAAGCCAGCCTCAAATGACCCCAAATTGATCAATGAGGGTTGTGGTGTGGAACTGCAGAGGGCTTGATGGGCCCTCTACAGTTCCCCAATTGCGAGAGGCAATCTTGTCTCATCACCCAAATTTTGTGTTTCTATCTGAGGTAAAAAAAAAAAACAAAAATGCTATGTTTCTAAGATCTGTAAGAGGCTAGGTTTCGAAGGCAACTGGTTCTATGTGGAACCACAAGGTACTGGAGATGGACTACTACTTTGCTGGGGTAAAGATGTGTATATTTTGTCTCTCTGTGCAAATAAATGTTGCATCCAAGTGCAACATAAGGCTAAAGGTTCTCACCAGGTAGAATGAGCCATTTTTGTTTATTTAAGCACAGTTAAGCAAAAGTGGGAAGGACAGTAACAGTTTTTGAGAGAGTAGAAAAGGAGATGGGGGGTTGCTGGACAAT